TGGGAGTAAAGGAGGAGAGAGAGGAGGTGAGTGAGGAAGGAGGTTGGAGGGGAGGAGGAGGAGGGATGAGAGGAGGGTGAAGGAGGATAGGAGGAAAGGAGCTTGGAAGTACAGGAGGATAGAGGAGGAGGGAGGAGGGGAACAGAGAAGGAGAAGAGCAATAGAGGAGAGGTAAAAAACTAAAGAGAATAAGAAGTTAGAGAGGAAGAGATGATAAGAGAAAAGTGACAACAAGACAAGAAGAGAGAAGAAGACAAAAAAAGAGGAGTGAGAGTAGTAGAAAAAAAAGGACGACGCTATGAACGCGCTTAAATTCCGATTGATTTTATTTCGTTTCTCTCAACTAACTGTCGCACAAGGTATGTAATATGTTATATTTTACGACTTTGGACGAACGAGGAGCGCGCAGAATGCTGAGTGAACGGATATGAAATATTTTTGAGACGCGGGACAAGGGAAGGGAGAAAGTTCGTGTACAAAAAAAAGAAAAAAGAAAAGAAAGAAAAGAAAGAAAAAAAGGGAATAATTGCATAATAATAATAAGGAATGTTGACGGTTCGGTTTCGCAATTGTTTGCAGTTAGGTAATGTGTAATATTATCATTGTGTGTACTTACATATTATCTAATTTATTAATTATACGCGACACAATGACATTATCTTATCATCTAATAAAGTTCACTTACCTAATATGTCTTGTTCTGTTATCTATCTATTATTCCTTTCTCTCTCAATGTCTTTCTTTCCCCCACTTAAAGTTTTACTTTTTCTTTAATTCTTCACCTCCCCCTTCCTCCCTCTTCTCTATTTGACATTCGTCTTTCTCTCTCTCTATCTATCTGTCTGCCTCTCTCTCTCTTCATATCTGCCTTCCTTTCTCTCTCTCTCCCTATCTCTCCTCTGCCTCTCCCTCTTCTCTCCTCTCTTCTCCTCTCTCTCTCTTCTCTTCACCCTCCCCTCTATACCCTCTCCCCACTCCTCTCTCCCCCTCTCCTCCTCCTTCTCCTCTCTCTTTATCCAATCATTCCATTTCCATTAATAAACCATCACCAGAGTTATAGATATCATCCCATCATCCATTCCGACACTCTCCGCAGGCCGGTGAGAATCGAGAGATCGAGAACCTTTTCATTTTTACTGTAAATAAGAAATTGTAAATAAGGGCGTTAAGTTTTCCTTATTTGGGAGAGTGGACGTAAGCAAGCGCCTCCTGCTTTCTGCTTGCGGGATGGGGTGGGGGGTGGGGAGGGGGTAGTGTTTTGGGTTGGGTTCTTTTGTTTTTTTGTCTAGCTGTTTTTTTTCCCTCTATTCTCTCGCTCTTTCCGCTTCTCCTTTGCTCTTCTCTCTTTCTCTCTCTCTTTTCTCTTTCTTCTCTCTCTCCTCTCTCTCTCTCTTTCTCTCTCTCCTCCCTCTCTCCTCCTCCTCCTCCTCCTCCCTCTGCTTCTGCTCTGTCTCTGTCTCTTGTCTCTTCTCTGTCTTGTCTCTGTCTCTGTCTGTCTCTCTCTCTCTCTCTCTCTCTCTCTCTCTCCTCTCTCTCTCTCTCTCTCTCTCTTCCTTCCTTTCCTCTTTCTCTCTCTCTCTGTTTTCCGATTGTGATTAGATTTTTTTCCGTTCTTCGTTGTGATGAGAAATATAACGTGATAATATTTTGAACGTGTAGCGGTAGTGGAAATCTGGAGTTCATTTTTCAGATATTTTTTTTTTTCATCTCCGTTTGAAATTTGGATTTCCTTATATTATTTCGAGGAACCTTTCTCTGCGGATATTTCGCATTCATTTAATTTCCAATTTTCTGTTTCTGTCGCTACTCGCCCACTGCACTTTTTAAGTTTATATATATTTTTCTTGTTTTAATCTTCCCTTTATCGTTTTTTAAGCATCAATTTAAATCCTCTTTTTATCTATCTTTTAGTTATCCCTTTATTCCTTTTATCATATATATATATATATATATATATATATATATATATATATATATATATATATATATATATATATATTATATTATATATACATAGTATCTATTCATCTTTCAAAAAAACTCTATGCCCTCATTTCCTCATGTACTTCCCTCCCCCCCGCCACCTCACACTCCCCCCCTCGCTCTATGCCCTCATTTCCTCATGTACCTCCCCCCCTCACCACCACCTCACACTTCCCCCTCACTCCCCTCACAATCGAGTCAACTCATTAGTCAGCCCAGTCCATTCCCCTGCAATCCTCGGTCCAACCTCCTACCCCCTCGCACTATAAGCTCGCAAGAGAGACACTCGCAGGAGGATCATTGAACCTACGACCCTCCACGACGACCACAAGACGTCCGAGAGAATGAGGAACGACCCTTGGCGGTTGTGAGGGAGAGGGGCAGAGGGGGGGAGGAGGAGGAGGAGAGGAGGTGAGGGACAGAGGGGGAGGAGATGAGGGGGGAGGTGAGGACAGAGGAGGAGGAGGAGGGAGGGAGGTAGGGACAGAGAGGAGGAAGAGGGGGATGGGAGGTGGGAGGAGGAGGAGGAGGGAGGGGGGAGTGAGGGACAGAGGGGAGGGAGGGGGTGAGGGACAGAGGGGAGGGGGGGTGGGAGTGAGGGACAGAGGATGAGGAGTCTCAGATCAGGAAGAAGACAAGGATGAGGGTCCTTAAGGAAGAAACACCCACCGCGTTAGTACGTTGGTCGGTAGGTCGGGTCGGGGGGAGAGGGGGGATGGGGGTGGCTGAGGTGGTTAATAAGGGTGAAATTCTCATGAATTAGTAGTGGGAATGACGTACTTAGACGTACAGGAAGAAGGAGGAGGAGGGAAAGAGCGAAAGGGGGAAGAGAGGAAGAGGCAAGAACGGCACACAGAGAACGGAAAACCTCGAAGGAAACCCGGGATTCAGACGCCGAGGGTCCAGTGAGGAGACTCCCATCCAGCGAGAGGGTTTCCGTCCAGCGAAACCTCCTCCTCTCCGACCCCTTCTATACTCCTTTTACCTCCCTCTTTCATTCCTCCTTTTCTGTGTCCTTCCCCTTTCTGTCCCTCTCTCTTTTTCTGTTTGTTTTTTTCTTATCTTCTCTCTCCCTTTTCATCCCTTTTCCCTCCATCTTTCTTTCTTTATCTTTGCCTGAAATCTTTCAGGTCCTCATACTTCCCTCTTTCGTGTCTCTCCATTTCCTTTTCCTTTCCGTTCCCCGTCTCTCTTTCCCTTGCCCTTATTTTCCTTTTTCCATTTTTCCTTTCATCACTCTATCTCTCCCTTTTCCATTCCTTTTCTCTTTCCCTCTCCCTACCCCTCCTTCTCCCTTTCCGTTTCTGTCTATTTCCCTCTCTCTCCCATTCCGTCTCTTTCCCCCTCCTTCTCTCTTCCTATCCCCCTTTCCATCTATTTTTCCTCTCTCTCCTATTCCGTCTCTTTCCCCTTCCTCTCCCTTCCCATCCCTCTCCCTTTCCATCTCTTTTCCCTTCTCTCTCCCACTCCGTCTCTTTCCTCTCCCTCTCCCTTCCCCTCCTCTTCCCTTTCCCTTTCCCTCATCTATCCCCTTCTCACTCCCCCCTCCTCCTCAACACCCACTCCTCCTCCCAGAACCTTGAAAAAGAACCCTCCCCCCCCAAAAAAAAAAAAAAAAAAAAGAAAAGAAAAAGAAAAAAGCAAGAGGGAGAAAAAAAGAAGTGAAGGACATGTTTAAAGTGACAGCCCCCTGGACTCGAGATGAAGCAAATGAAGCGGAGTCACTCGTCACAGCTTCTCCTTTGGTGCTTCAGCGGCTCCTCCTCGTACTTGTCCTCTTCATTATCCTTCTTGGTTATTATTCACGTTATGTAATTGTATCTGAACAGCTTGGGTTTTCTTTATGTGTAAATCATATTCATGTGTGTGTAAAGTATGTGGGTTTGTGGATGTGCGTTTGTGACAGTCGGTTGGTCTGTCTGTTTGTATTGTGAGGTGTTTTGTATGCTTTATGTGTGTGTATAATTGGATGAATGGATTTGTACATTGAATGTCTACATGAATTGATAGTAATGTTGAAATTAGTAGTGTATGAATTTGTTTATCAGTCTCTCTATATCTCTACATATTTATCTATCTATCTATGAATATGCCCATCTAACTGTCTATCTATAAATCTATCTATATATCTATTTGCCTATCTCGTCATCTATCTGTCTATCTATATATCTATTCATCAATCAACACACACACACCACAGATATATATATATATATATATATATATATATATATATATATATATATATATATATATATATATATATATATATATATATATATATACGGCAAGCTGGGACACAATATTTAGCATAAACCACCACAAAATTTCAACGTTGATAGCCGCGTAAGGACAGAACCGTTCAGCTATTTATTATCATATTTTTTGCATATTTTCTATTTCATCTTCAATTTGTTTATTTCTCCTTTTCATCTTATCACAATCTATCTACCATTTTTCCTTTCTACTTCTCTTTTTAAATCTTAATGATAAAATAATCTTTAAATTCTAATACTCTAGCTATAATTCTATTATTATTATCTTATTATTGCTATTAGTTATTATTATTATTATTATATTATTATTATTATTATTATTATTATATTTATTATCATTATTATTATTACTGTTATTATTATCATTATTATTATTATTATTATTATTATCATTATTATTATTATTATTATTATTATTTTTACTTTCTCCCAATGACTTACCGTTCAGTTTGATGTCTCCTTCGGTCTCCCCGAGAGAATTCTTGGCGACGCACTTGTATGTGGTGTTGTCGTCGCGAGAGAAGTTAAAAATGGTGAGCTTCATGTGGATACGATAAGTTGACTCGTTCGTCTCCGCTCGGTATTTCCCTGAGTTCAGGATCATCATATCTCTGCGCACCCAGTAGCTGATCGCCTGGGGGAGGAGAGAGAGAGAGAGAGGAGAATGGGGGTTAATGGTGGGCTAGTTTGTTTTGGTTTAGATAGGAAAAGAAAAAAATGGAGAGGGAGAAAGAAGAGAAA